TTGGGAACTAAATATAAAAACATCAATCTTTGATTTTGATATTATTTATACCATATTAAAATCACAACTGGCCATAAAAACTAAAAATCACAAACTCCATTTTTGTGTTTGTCATTTTTTAATTTAAATATTTGTATTATAGGGCCAGAGCAATAGTACAATGGGTAGGGTACTGGCCTTGCAAATGGCAGACCTGGGTTCAATCACCGGCATCTCATATGGTCCACCGAGGGTCTCAGTGGTAATACCTGAGAGCAGAATCAGGAGTAACCCCTCAACGTCACCAGGAGGAACCCAAAAAGCCAAAAAATATATTTAAAAATGTATATTATGCATGTCTATTCATATCTTCAATTAATAATCCTGGCTCTGTGCTCAGGAAGCACTCCTGATGATCCTCAGGGGACTATACATGGTATTGCCCAAGAACTGAACCAGAGACAGGGATGTGCAAGGTAAATGCCTTAATCCCTGCACTATCTTTCCAGCCCCTTCAATTTCATATTTTAATTTCAATACTATGTATTGTGAACACTAGGAAACATAACTAACACAATGTTTATAATGAACAGAAACGGAGTAAAAAATATATTTTAAAATAAAGGATGCTGGGACAGGAGTGAATGGGGTGCTTGCCTTGCACATGGCTGATGAGGGTTCAATCCCCAGCCTCCCATGTGGTTCCCTGGAAAGCAAAGAGTAATCCTGAGCTCCCTGATTGTGACCTGATTGGTCCTCAGACAGAGGGACAGAGATGAATAGAGTGAATAAATAGAAGTTTATAGAGGTGCACTCCAGGGTGGACTCTACAGATCTCCGTGAGGCTGGAATAGAGCTGTGCCCTCAGAAGACTAAGCAGGATTTTCAATTGTCTTGGTGGGAAAGGTAACAAAGACCAGTGGGAGAGGTATACTTGGTAAGCATGGAATATAGCCTTCAGCTACCAGACTTGGGATGAGCCATGAGCTCTGTTTTTGGTGCCAGAGCCCACAGGGTGATCTTTGATTCTGGGAATGTTGCTGTCTCATCAGCTGGCCAGTTTGGTCCCTGGCAAAGCTTAAATGACACACACACACAAAAAAAAAAGATAGGGGCTGGAGCAATGGCACAGCAGGGAGGGCATTTGCCTTGCATGAGGCCAACCCAGGTTCGATTCCCAGCATCCCATATGGTCCCCTGAGCACCGCCAGGAGTAATTCCTGAGTGCAGAGCCAGGAGTAACTCCTGTGCATCACCGGGTGTGACCCAAAAAGAAATAAAAAAGATAAAAGAATGCCATGGATCATGCAGAAGGAGAGGAACTCAATCCTGCAACTTCGGGACTACTTCCCTGAGAAAATGATGCTTAGTTTGAAGAATATTAGTAGTTAACTGGAAAAGCAAAATTAGAGACAAAGGGCATAAGCAAAGTTCTTAAAGCAGGAGAAAAAAATCTAGTTCAGCTGGAGCTAAAGATTTGGGGGAGGGAGGGTGTTAAAACATTTATGACACCTTCAGGGGCTGGAGAGATAGTATAGTGGGTAGGATTCTTACCTTGTATGCGGCTGACTCATGTTCCATCTTTGGCATGACATATGGTCCCCCAAGCACTACAAAGGAGTGATCCCTGAGCACAGAGCCAGGAGTCAGCACTGAGCACTGCCAAATCGGCCCCCAAACAAATATTCATTACATCTTCAAATATGATAAGGAAGGCTTTTTCAAGAAAAATGATTAAAGGGGCCAGGTAGTAAGTACAGGGGTTAACGCTCTCGTCTTGAATCCTAAAAACCCAGGTTCAATACCCAGAACCAAATATGGAGTAACTTCTAAGCACCACCAGGGGTCACTCCTGAGCAAAGATTGAGAAGACCCTCTAAGCACTACTCTTAGAGGCCAAACTCTCCCAAAGTAAAATTACTGTCATGGGGAGTTTACAGAAGGAGAGAAAGAGAAAAATCAGCTTCAAATACAAGAAGTGGGGGCTAGAGATACAGTACAGCAGGTAAGGCACTTGATTTGCATGCAACTGACCCAGCTTTAATCTCCAGTACCATCTATGGTCCCCAAGTACCACCAGGAGTGATCCCCAAAGCACAGAACCAGGAGTATGCCCTGGGCACACCTGAGTTGCCCCATCACCAAAAGAAAAAAAAAAAGAGCATTGTGTAACTGAAGATAGCTCAAAGGGCTGGAGTTCCAGAAGTCCAGGTTCATTATCTGGCCCCACATGACCTTGAGCCACCATCAGGTGAGGCCCCAAAACAAAAAGAGTAACAGAGATGTGACTCACTTGTTCATGCTCTGGGTTTGAGGTGCCCCCTTTAAGGCCCCCCTCCCGCAGGCCTAAAAATAAAAGGACAAATGGAGTTGGAGGGGGGAGGCCTTATTGCTCTGTTAATGGATAAGGGAAATTCCTGCAAGACAATAGAATTCGTGCAGATCAGGATAAAAAAAGTAATTTTATCTGCCTCAAAAGGTAGGAGATTCTCACTGAACTGATTCAGCAGAATTCAAGAACAGCTTAAGAACAGCACCTAACATCGGAGCCTAGTTGAAAGGGTTCACTGGAGCCAGACTCAGATTTGGTCACGGAGAAAAAGTTTTGTCCATAAATGAAAACCAAGAGTAAACTGGGGACAGTTTGAGGGCTCCAATCCCTTAATAGTTCTACCTCTTAATAAAGGAGGCAGAAGGAAAAGGTCTTTGAAGCTGCTCCTTCAGGGGCACTTTGTTCCAATTAACTTCTTCACTTTTAATTTCCCAGAACCAAAACCTCACTGGACTGAGCATGGGGCGAGCTTCTGGAGTGCTAAGGCAAATTGGGGGAAGAGAAATCAATAGCAGCTCGAGGCAATGAAGGGAGCAGAAATCAGGACTGCATTTGGGGGGCTCTGCACAGTCTTACCTGAATCAGGATGGAAGTAGAATAGCTCAGGCTGGGGATTAGGGGGCTCTGCTGTCTGCACCTCCAGTACTAACCTACCTTCCCAACCTATTCCAGAGGTGACTGGCTTCCTGCCTCCTTTCCCTAGAACAGCAATTCTGGGATAACTTGTGTGGAAGTGGAATCACCCCACTCCTAGTCCTTGACATGGAATAAAACTAAAGGCATCACCTAAGTTTTTTTTTGGGGGGGGGGGGGGCGGAGCCACATCAGTAGTGCTCAGGGATCAGTCCTAGTGGTTCTAGGGATTGAATCAGGGTCATCTGGTTATGATGGCAAATGCTTTAGTCCCTTTACTATCTCTCAAGCCCCAAAGTTGTTGATTTTTTGGTTTGGGGCCCACACCTGGCTAAAGCGTCACTTAAGACCTCCATAGGCCTCACCTCCAAAGTAGCAAAAGATTTTAAACATTTGACAGGTATCTTAAAATAATATCAAACAACATTTAGCTATAAATTTAAGCAAAGGAACAATTAGCAACTTGAAAAGCATATATAGAAGGTTCACATAGTTGTGAACAAAATTTTACTCTTTAATACTGAGAAGACTAGGTTTATTTAATCAAAGACCTGGTGATCAACCCCATCAAAAAATGGGGCAAGGAAATGAACAGAAACTTTCGCAAAGAAGAAATCCGAGTGGCAAAAAGGCACATGAGAAAATGCTCTACATCACTAATCATCAGAGAGATGCAGATCAAAACCACAATGAGATATCATTTCACACCACAGAGACTGGCCCACATTCACAAGAACAAAAGCAACCAATGCTGGCGCGGATATGGCGAGAAAGGGACCCTCCTTCACTGCTGATGGGAATGCCGGAGGGTCCAACCCTTTTGGAAAACAGTATGGACGATTCTCAAAAAATTAGAATTTGATCTCCCATTTGACCCAGCTATAGCACTCCTGGGAATATATCCCAGAGAGGCAAAAAGGTATAGTCGAAGTGACATCTGCAATTGTTTGTTCATTGCAGCACTCTTTACAATAACCAGAATCTGGAAAAAACCTGAGTGCCCGAGAACAGATGACTGGTTAAAGAAACTTTGGTACATTTACACAATGGAGTACTATGTAGCTGTTAGAAAAGACGAAGTCATGAAATTTACATACAAGTGGTACTACATGGAAAGTATCATGTTAAGCGAAATGAGTCAGAAAGAGCGGGATAGACACAGAAAGATTGCATTCATCTGGGGAACATAAAGCAACAAAAAGGGAGACTAACACCCAGGAATGGCTGAGATTAGTACCAGGAATTTTGCTCCATGACTCGAAGGCCAGCCACACGTGCTAGGTGAAAAGGAAGTTCAGATAGAGAAGAGAGCACCAAATAAAGGGTGTTGTGAGGACCCTCCCAGGGTGGGAGAAGCATGCTAAAAGTAGTCTATAGACCAAACATGATTGCCACTCAATGCCTCTCTTGCAAAACACAGTACCCAAAAGAAGAGAGAGAGAGAGAACAAGGGGGAATACCCTGCCACAGAGGCAGGGTGGGACTGGAGGGGGGTGGGGGGGATGCTGGGACCCGTGGTGGTGGAGGATGGGCACTGGTGGAGGGATGGGTACTTGATCATTGTATAACTGAAACCCAAGCACAAAAATTTGTAAGTCTATAACTGTACTTCATGGTGTTTCACTAATAAAAAGAGAAAAAAAAGAAAAAAAACAAAGACCTGGTGATAAAGAAAAATGAAGCATTGATTCTTTGCTTTCTTGGTATATTAAGTAAAAGTGAAGCAAAATCTTTCATAATTCCTTATTAATATAGAGCAATTCAAGAAAACTAAAATTTAGCAGTGAAAAGAAAAATTATACTTTAGTTTTACAAAAGTATGCTTGATTAAAGTTTAATTTTTAGGGGCTGAAGTGATAGTACAGAGGATTAGGCATTTGCCTTGCATGCAGCCAAACTGGGTTCGATCTCCAGCATCTGATAGGGTTCTCCGAGTACCGCCAGCAGTAATTTGTGAGTGTAGAGCCAGGAGTAACCCCTGAATATAGCTGGGTGTGATCAAAAAAGCAAAAAAAAGAGTTTAATTTTATTTGTTTTGTAGTGGGTTTTGTTTCTTTTGCAGTGTCAGCATATATACTAAAATTGGAAACCATACAGAGAAAATTAGCATAGCCCTGGACAAAGATGACAGCAATTTCCTGAAGTGTTTTAAATTTTTAAAAAAAGACTCTAAAAACCTCTCATAGAATAAAGATAAATAGTAACAGGCTGGAGCGATAGCACAGCAGGTAGGGCTTGCACGCAGCCACATGGCCGACCCAAGTTCGATTCCTCCGCCCCTCCCGGAGAGCCCGGCAAGCTACCGAGAGTATCTCGCCCGCACAGCAATGCCTGGCAAGCTACCTGTGACATATTTGATATGCCAAACACAGTAACAACAAGTCTCATGAAGGAGACATTACTGGGCCTGCTCAAGCAAATCGAAGAACAACAGGAGGACCGTGAGCGACCGTGAGTGAGTAACAGAAGCAACAAAATGTCTAAGGCAACAGAACTGCACTGTTGGTCAACAGAACAAAGGAGTTTCTGTAGACTTGGGTAGATGGGAGGGGTCTTTGGGACATTTGCAGAGAGAAGTAGATTCTCTGGTGATAGTTGTAGTATGGGAATAATGTATGTGTATAACTGTAGATAGTATTGTAAATTATGAAACTTCAGACTTTTTTTATTCCATACTAAAACTCTGAAACCCTAGCAAACATTATACTAGTCTTTATACTTGACAATTCCAGTTAGCTCGAAAAAGTGGACTTTATATCTGGCTTTATATCCTTTATATCTGACTTAGTTCGTATGTAGTGTCTTCAGAGTATATGCTATGAAATTCTCAGGATTTCATTTCTTTTGGACTGAATGATTTCCCACTGTATGAACATATAACTTTGTTTATCTATTGATCTGAAATGTGCATTTGAGTTCCTCCCCGCCCCAAGCAGAGCCCCGGCAGCCAAAGACCTCCAGAACCAGCCACCATCTTGCTGAGACCACTCTCCACACGCATAAGGTACCAACAGAGAAACAAAGGCATGCGGTTCCCGGGGCTGAGATCTCCAAGCCTGCTCGGATTGGGGCTGAGCATCCTCCACCCAGATCCTCCATCTTCCAGTAGGCAGGGGTCACACCCACCAACTGCCCCCTGGCGCCATGTAATCCCATCAACGGCCAAGACCCAGAAACTATAAAACCCAACTCCCGGAAGCGCACGGCTGCATTTACGGCCACATGACATCTTATTATCTCATTCTTGCTTTGGACAACCTGGCAGGCTACCGAATGTAATCTGCCCACACGGCAGAGTCTGGCAAACTCCCCGTGGCATACCCAATATGCCAAATACCAGTAACAATGATGGGTCTCATTCTCCTAACCCTGAAAGAGCCTTCAATATGGCACTTTTTTAAAATCTCAGGGCTAGGACGAAGGAGACGTTACTGGTGCCTGCTTGAGGCAATCGACGAACAACAGGATGATCGTGATCTATTGATCTGAAATGTGTATTTGAGTTGCTTCCATTTTTTGATTATTGTTAATAATGCTAAAATATGTTCCAGGGATTGATCAATGGGGAAAATGCCTGCCTTGCAAGCATGAGACTCTTTAAGTTTCTTTCTCATTGATTCCCACATGCACCAACTGTGATCCCAAAGCACTGTCATATGGTATCCACTGTGCCACAAGAGTCCAGCTTCTGGTTTCTGCAACTAAGCTGTGCAAACAAAAATGAGTGTGAGCCCCACAATTATAGAGTGTGACCCCTGATAAGTACATGTGCATACACCACAACCAAGTATGAGAGTGCATAACCAAATGGGTATGACCTCTGCAATGTCAAAAAAAAAGCGGGGGGTGAGTGATGGAAAGGCGAATAAATAATTAGTCATGACAAAATAAAAATATAAAAGTTATTCAGCCTTTAAAAATAATTCTTTGTTTTGTTTTGCTTTTTGGTTCACACCCTGCAATGCACAGGGGTTACTCCTGGCTCTGCACTCAGGAATTACCCCTGGCGGTGCTCAGGGCACCAGATGGGATGCTGGGAATTGAACTGGGGTTGGCCACGTGCAAGGCAAATGCCCTACCCGCTGTGCTATTGCTCCAGCTCCCAATTCTTGACTTAATAATGCCAAGCAGAATTTCAAGCTGACTCAGAATTTTTTTTTCTCTTTGGGTCACACCCAGCGATGTTCAGGGGTTACTCCTGGCTCTGCACTCGGGAATTACTCCTAGTGGTGCATGGGGGACCATATAGGCCAGGGATTAAATCCAGGTCGGCTGCGTGCAAGGCAAATGCCCTACCCACTGTACTATCACTCCGGACTTGGAATCAGAATTTTCATGTGTGAAAACTGAAATAAACTTAAGGACGCAGGGACACACACACACCCCACCTCTAGACTCTTAGGTAAGAAACTAAGGCCAGGCCTGAGACATCTCCTAGCCGCAGTTATTTTCTGTATGCATTTTCACAAATTTTTATGCACAGAATAACACATCCCTCCCATTTGGTTTTCCTCAAAGTTGTGTCACATATAGCTGCTTGCCTTTAATCTATTTCACCTTGAATAAATGTTATGCTTCCTGAAAACACTAAGGCACGGTCTCTCAATCCTGCTGTAATACATACCTCTGTAATAGTAAGTCCATATTTTATACTGAGGACCGTCCAAGTACTTTCTTTGGGATTGGTAGCTGTTATGAGAAGACTCAAAGATTTGGGACTACCATACAACAATATGCAACATCACTAAAAGTGGGAAAAACTCTTTTTGTTTGTAGGTTACACTTAGTGTTGCTCTGTTGCCACTCCTGGCTGTGCTCTGAGGTTGCTTCCTGAAGTGCTCGGGAGTACAAGCAAGTGCTAAGGATCAAATCAGGCCTTCTCCTTGCAAAGCACGCACTCTCCAGTACATTGAGCTATCTTCCCAGGTGACTGCTGTCGCTACTTTAACTGATTCTTTATCATAAGCTACTATTAAAAGAAACGTTTTTTTATAAGATTTTTTAGTGAAAATAGTTTCTCTTAAACAAAACTTAGAAAGATATGAAGGAAGAAAAAGTGAGGAAATGCATATCCAAGAGAGAACATGGGCTTCTCCAGAATAGAAAAAGGCTTCAAGCAAAGATACAGGAAGACAAGTGAAATACATGCCAAAACAGAACACAATAGTATAAATACCTGAAATTCTCCCAAATATTTTAAAATTTAAAAAACAGTAATGCTAAAATAACATTAGGGCTTACAACTATCATTTTTGGTATTAGATTTTGAGTATTTGGGATATATACCTAGGAGTGTATTGCTGGATCATAAGGTAGTTCCTTTTTTTTTTTTTGACACTGCTGAAAGATTAAATATAGGGTCTCATCAGTTTGAGACATGTTCTATCTGAGCTGCATCTCTAATTCCATCAGGTAGTTCTATGTTGTTTCCCACAAACACACACTTCACTCCCCTTTGTTACTGTTGTTTCCATGAACAGGAGTTTCACATGCTTGGTTGTGGTGCTTGCAGAATTGGCCACAGTGCTGACCAGTGGATATTATTAATTATTATTATTATTATTTTATATTTTTCCCTGGCTGTGCTCAGCGTTTACTCCTGGCTCTGTGCTTAGGAATCACTCCTGGCAGGGTTTAGGGGATCCTATGTATTACCAGAGATTGGAACCACACCATGGCTGACCACTTGCAAAGCCAGTGCTTTACCTTCTTGGACTATCTTCCCAGGCTCCTATTCTGGTCTTGACATTCTGGTCTTGACTTCAGTTGCTCTACTTATTTATGTGCTTTCCAGGCATCACACTCAGCCAACTTTCACATACACATTCTGGCTGCAGTGCTTGCCAAGAGTCTTTCTGGCACTCACACACATCTTTGTTGGGGGGCACACTCCCTGCACTAATGCTCGTAAACTTCAGTGGTGGTCTTCACCAGGATAACACATACCTCATTTGCAGGGATTGCATACACTTTGCTGCAACAGTCTCATGACACTAGGGATCCCAGACAACAAAATTGCCAGGAGCACACTTGTCTGTGTATGTGAGCTGTACCAGGGATCCAACTCACAGACACTGGTAGCCAGTGATCCATCTCTCGGGTCCTGTGGGCTGCATTTTGGCTGTTGCTAATGTCCTTTGATGAACAAATGTTTTAAATTTTAACCCCAAAATGTCTGCCCTTGTTTTTGTTTGGCCATAGTTGGGTTGTTCTGGAGGCTACTCCCAGTGTGGTGCTCCAGGTAATTACCTGCTTTTCACTGCATTTTGTCATGTGGTATCAAGGAGCCTCAGCGAGCAGCCTGTGTTGCAGTCCTTTCACAACCTCTTCAGCCCTTCTAGTGGATAATATACTTTTGTTTTGGGTAGTGCCATGGCCTCAGGTATGCAAAGCAAGTGCTCTACTGCTGAGTTACTTCTCTCCCCACCCCTTTATGTATGATTTTAAGAGCCCAACTGTAGAAAACTATGCACGCAGAAGGTTGTGTGTTTGCGGGCTCTCTGGACGGCTCTATCTCACCGCCCGCGTTCGGTGCCCTAGAGCCGCTGTGTGTGGCCTGCATCGGGACGGCTGTTGGCCAAGGGCAGATGAAGGAAGAGACGAGGGCCAGGCCAGTTGATCTTAGTGGCAGTTTATTACAAGGAAGTTTATCCCATAGAAGAACTCTATGTTATGGAAGGCCTAGGTTCTCTCAAGCACATGTTCCCCTTGCTAGTCTCTCGGTAGTCCTTCTTTCAGCCCTGCTCTCTCCTTCTCCAGCTCCCTTCTAGTCTGGGCTGACACTCAACTCAGTCAGGTAGCCAAATCAATATAAGAAAGCCCTTCCTGACTGCTCAAGGGCAAGGTATCTCGTAAGGTGTTTTTCTCTTTTCCTCAGTCCAATAAACTATCAACTATTCCTGAGGTTATGCAGGAAGGACAGAACAGTGTTATCCTACACCCAACTTTGTTACTTTGTTCAACACTTCTCATTTAAAAGACTGCCCTTTCCCCCATCACAGCATAATAGATGAAAACACTGCTGTCAAAACGCAGTCAAGGGGCTGGAGCAATAGCACAACGGGTAGGGTGTTTGCCTTGCATGCGGCCCACCCGGGTTCCATTCCCAGCATTCCATATGGTCCCCCGAGCACCGTCAGGGGTAATTCCTGAGCGCAG